AGCCATCGCAGCCATGCACACTGTTTCACCCACCTTCTCCTTTAATTGTTTTGCCAGCTCTGGAAGTTTTGTGGTTGTATAGATGGTGCACATTGAGTGCCTGGTAGAGGGAGGTGGGTCTTCCCATCTTTCTTCCTAGGTTAGGGCTTCCTCTACCTCCACTTTTTGATGAATAGACAGCCTAGCGTGTAAAACCAGGTAATTTCCCCAGGGGTTTTCTCCACTGTGAGGACTTTCCTTCTGGAGATGTTTCTGGAGGAGGTCGTGTTTCCTACGGCTCACAACATGAGCTCCACAGTAGCCAGCCATTGCTCAAAGTCCTCCTCTATCTGCTGCAGCTGGTCTACTCAGCAGACAAGGCCATTTGCCTCTCAACATCCTGCTGACTTCCCAGCTGCTGTCGGTCAGCTTTGGAGGCCCAAGGGAGATTTTCTCCATTGAGGTCCCCAGGTTAAAGAACACAATGCCTGTGTGCAAGGCACCAGCAACAACAGCAGGCAGCGTGGAGCAGAGCAGAGCACAAGAGCCACACATGTCTTTATTGCATACTTTTTATACAGGTTGTTGTCACCCATTTACATTCTTACATGCTGTCCTCACTAGTGCATGTGCAGTTGTCCACTGCTAAGTCATGGTTATATAATTATGCCCTCATGTGCACCTGTACTGACAATGGGGTCATGTCCTCAGGGCTGTTCGGAAGCATCCTTACATGCCCTGAGCTTTGACTCAGTCTGAGCGGTTTCCCACAGCACGTAACCACCCCACACACTAAACAGAACAATAATTAGGAATGTCCCCTCTGAGGGTTAATAACAGCAGCCTGATGTTTACTGTACTTAATAAATCCTGCCAGATGTCGTAGGCTTACTGTAAAAGAATCACTAGGAGTACTAGGAACTGTAACAGATCTAGATCAGGGTTGCTATTGTGTTTATGTATTTATAGAGGACACCAAATCCTCAGCCACGTTGTTTTCTGCTGTTCAAACACTTGACGACTTACAAAGGATTTTGAATAATAACTGGATAATCAGCTGCTGTTTTGATTATAGATACTACACCCCAAGAAAAAAGTAAAAAAACAAAGATTTAAAGATTATTTTTAATTAAAATGTAATTGTTTCTTTTCAGCTCTTCCCCATTGTTACTTCAGGCTGTTTTCATAGAGGTGCCTCGTTTCCTGCCTTGCTCATGTAACCACTAGATGGTGCACACTGCAAAACATTAGCCTAGAAGTGGGCTGTCTGTCACTGCCTAGTAGCAAGAAAGGGATCACGAGGGAAGGGAGGGGTTCCCAAATCCACAAATGAAAACACACAACTCTCAGTTAAATGTAAATTTCAGATAAACAAAATATTGCCTGAAGCATACTAAAATTTTTCTTCTTGTTTATCTGCAATTCTAATTCAACTAATGACCTGCATTTTATAAGCAACTTTATCAGACAGGATGTCAGGGCACAAGTACTATGCCTGTCAGTTTTTTCAAATATTCACATACTAGAAGTTTTAGTTGCATGCTTGTTACTCAAAGTAACAAGTAATCCAGCAGTTGGTATCATTATTCCACCAAAAAGGGAAATCTATGTGATATTGTCTTCAAAATCTAAAAACTTTAACACCTACTAACCCTCCACTGCTTGGGTCATCCTAATGTCATCATTCTCCTGCTGGGATCACATCTCTTATATAACCAAAGCAAAGTTCATGAATGCCTCAGCAAACTCCCTTGGTTTCTTTGGCAATGGCTTGATATGACTTTCCCTGACACCTCCCAGCTCTTAAAATACGTTGGGCCACACTATTTTGAAGAATACAATCTCAGTGTCCAGCGTGATGGAAGGGAACATAGATAGGCATATGCAAGAAAAGGTTTACAGGCTGATCAAAATTTAATTACACATATAAATTGGTGTCATGTCTACTGCCCATAGCTGACATCCTTAAGCTAGCCTCAAGTACTATTCTCAGAGAGAAAAAAGCAACTTTATCTGCATTCTGAGCTTTCTCTTGATAAGTATTGGCCAATCCCCCTGATTAACTACACGCTTTTTTTATAAGAAAAGAGCATTTTATGGCATCTTGAATAGAAAAGCTATAGCCCAATCTTGAATTCATGGCACCACAACCCGAGTCAGCATCACATTCAATACCCCAGTTTTATAACCGAGGCTGTGGTCTTTGAGTCTACCTGTGTGATGGTTGGGTCCCTGAGAATAGGATAGGAGAAGAAAGGAAATTGGAGAAGCTCGGCTTGGAAAAGTTCTCCTTGAAGTGCACCCAGGTAAAGCCCACTCTGATACCTGGGTATACTCTAGTGAGGGCAGAGGAACCCCCAAAAGTCAAAATCTCAATCCTAAACCCACTGCCTTTTATTTCTCCTTGCAGTAGATAACATGACAAAACCCCTGGGTGATTCAATGCACTCCTTACTTTCTGCTCCAGATCTTGTAAACGTACTATGAAGGGTCAGCTGTCTTTCCTGCTTCCTGAAACTATCCGGAGTGGAGCAGCCCTCCATGTGCACCTCCCATGGGAGTAAAAAGAGAACCTCCATTTAACAAAGAGGAGTCACCTAGGAGCCAACAGCCTCTTCTTGGTAGGCTTCTGCTAAGTTGTGTAAATTGTTGGGCTCTGAAAACTTTAGAGAAGATCATGAGGTTTCCAACTACAGAATGGATACTTTGCTCCCTCTGAAGGATTTTGCTTTGTTTACTTTGTTTTTGCAGTACCAAGAAGTGAATCCAGGGCTTCACAGCTGCTAGGCAAGTGCTCTACTACTGAGTGACACCTTCTGATCCTGTGATTTTTAATATGCCTGCATCAAGGAAAATTTGAGACTTAATTATTGCGTTTAATAACTTCATAAGAATTGGTCAAACAATGACATTATCTGGACATTTTGCTCTGGATTCCTTAGGTCAATACATGGATAAATACAAAAAGGAAAGGGATATGAATTTTGGTCCTAGAGGAAGCTGAGACTCCTGCTTGGGAAGGGAGCACAGCCATTAAGATGGAGTGAAGTGAGTCATCTTTACTCCCTGCTGAGAGGCCCCCATCCTCTCTACATAGATTCCTTCCACACACATAATTGAGCACCTTTTGTGTGCCAGGCATCACTGCAGATAAAAACACCATATCATTCTGCTAGCAAGGAAACAAGAGACTCAGAGAATTTCCAGGATAACACAGCAAACAATGCAGCCAAGAGTTTAACCTCAGCAATTTGACTGGAGTGTTTAGCCATTACAGAAAATTCAACTGTGATTAAAATACAGTCCCTATTCTCCAGGAGATAACACACAAGTGAGGAGTGCAGATAAGCAAATTAATAATTAAGCAGATACATACCCATACTAGAGGAGAGTAATACAAGCAAGCCAGAAAGATACGGTCAGTGACAGGTGGTCATGACAAGTATCCGGAGATAAGGAGGTTTGCAAAACAAGGAAGGATCTACCAGGGAAGGAGAGGAGGAAATGTTTCCTTGCAGTCATAGAAGAGCAGATAGAAACTTTCTGTTGTGGTAGGTAGCTTTACAAGGTTTATAAGGGTTGGAGATGGAACTTGGTGGTACAGCACTTGTTTAGCATGTCTGAGGCCCTGGGTTCAATTCCCAGCATGAAAAAAAAAACTTGTAAAGGATCAGTGATATAAAATATCAGGGATTAGAGCAGAGGATGGAAGTGACCGACAAGAGTGATGAGAAATAAAGCTGAGGCAGTAACAAAAGGCCTTTTATATCACACTGAAAGATTTTATTTTGAAACCAAAATGCAACCACGTAAGGATTTTTAAGCAGAAAGGATAAGGTACCTTAAAACTTTACCAAATTCACTGGAGCAACATTCTAGAAAATGAATTGTGGAGGCATGAGTAGAAGTTAAAAATACTCAAAAATGTCTCCTAAACCTACTCCCGTCTAAACCAGCTGCCCTCCAGGAAAGATGCTTGTCTTCCTCATGGCCCTTTGCTGCACTGTCCTGCTAAGCTCCTGTCTCCCTTTTGTCCTTGTCTTGCTGAAATGTATTACCAGATAAAAGAGAAAAGTTGCTTTACAGATAAAATTTCTGCTATCAAACTGTCTTTATTCTGTCCTCATTATTAATAGAGCATTTGACTAGGTAGAAAATTCTGACTTGGGAAACATTTTGCTTCAGACATTTGAAAGCGTTGCTCCACTGTCTTCCAGTGACACCAGCCTGGTTCTCCTTCCTTTGGTCTTGTGGTCATAAGAATCATCTGGTACTTCATGTCATCTTGGGCATTTATATAGCAGCTGTGGCTTTTTTGTCATTATTTCAGCATGTCAGACTTGTTGTGCCTTCCTGGAAGTTCTCGTTAAATCCTCCTATGGCTGACTTCCTTCTATTAATCAGACCTGAGCCCAAATGTCAGCGGGCATGTCCCTCATCAATTGAGCTATGAAAAATATATTAATTAATTAAGTCCAATTGGATTTAGCTAAGTCCAATTGGAATTTCATGGAAATTTTGCAAGAAAGAGGTAGTCTTTGGACTGGGCCAAATTCACAATCTTATTTATCTTTCAACTGGGCAGAAAAATAATCTGAAATTACTACTTCATGATATACATAATAAATTAGTTCAGATGTCTAATAGACCTAAACATAAAAGAAAAACAAATAAATGTAAAGTAAAATATCTTCATAGCTTTGTAGGATGGCAGATTCTTACGGAAGATACAAAAATATTAGTCACTAAGACAAAATTTACTAAACTGGACTAAAGTTTAAAGCATCTATTGATCAAAACACAACATTAAGTGTATAAAAGGTGAGCAAAGTTATGTCTAATACAAAGTGCACAGAGGATTCATTTTTAGAATATATAAAGTCTATTCACAGTAAGAAAGATGCAGTGTGGTGCGGGGAGTTAAACAGACTGCACCTTGGAACTGCACAGCCATGGGCTGGCTGCACACTGGCAGGGCTGGGGGCAGAAAGGCACCCACCCCACGGCACCCCCCATCTCACCTGAGGAAGTAGTATAGCAGAGGCAGGTGACAGTGACAGCAGAACCTGTAAAGCAATGGAGGGGAGGTTAGAACCTCGCCTTGGAAGAGGAGTAAGAACTGGGGCTGAGCAGCCTTGAACTGCAACAGCAGGGGCAGAGGACCAGACCGTAGCACAGCATCCCACCCCACCCTGCAACAAAGGATGTGAAAGGACAGAGACTGGCCACTGGAGGAAGGACACAGAAGGCTGGGCAAGGACTAGGTGGAGCCAAAGATGCACAGGACTGGAAACAGCCCCATCCCTGTCTGAAAACAGCACAGCAACTGGGAGAGAAACACCGCCAAGAGAAACAGGGCAGGGAGTAGGAGGCCGGCAAGGAACACACAGAAAGTACTGCTTCAAGACTCTGGCCCCAGGCCCCCGCATCTGGAGGCCAAGATCAGCCTCAAATCCAGCACAAACTCTACTGCAGGTTTGGTGGTGCTATCCAGTATCCAGTATTTTATTTTATTTTACTTTATTTATCTATGTATTTTGCTGATTTGTGGTCTGTTTCCTATTGTTTTTCCTTTTTTTGGCTTTTATCTATACTTTTATTCTAATCTATTCATCTTCTTTCCCTTTTTTCTAAATTTACCTTTCTAGACTTAATCATATCTTCATATATGAGTGAATAGTCTAATTTTTCCCCTAGTCAACTTCAATAATTCCTCACCTACTCCTTCATTCTTTCTCTTCTGCCTTCTTCTCTAGTTTCCCAAAGCTTGTGTGATCATCCTTTGTCCTCCAGCCTGACTTCTACTTTATTTCTAGTCATTTTTCTCTGTTCTATCCACTATTCTTCTTAAATTTCCCTACCAGAGGGTACAACCGCTTTACCAAGGGGAAACTCTTTGCATATAAGCTCCCAATTTATGATGGGTTCTGTTGTACAACCGTGGATTTTGCTTCTATAGTTAAAGATACAAAATTAATAGTTACCACAGTTTGTCAGTTTCTAAACTGTGCTAGATGCTATTGTCAGTGCTAATTTCACTACTTTAGCTAGGATGGCCTATCTGTTTTTAATCAGTTGTTCTCATTTCTATAATAATACTGGGAAGTTCTGGGGTAATAATCTCACCACACCCCAGCACCAAAGGACTGGGGACTGAGCCAGATAGACACCAACATCTCACTCTTAATTAATTGGAGAGGTAGGATCATGGGACAGACACAAAATAAAAACCTCCTATACCCAGAAGACACCCTAAAGAACAAACCTTGCCTAGAATGGACTTGATACTAATGATAATGTTACCTACTACAAAACTTAAGGATCAAAACGGAAAACAAAATTAAAACTTTTGAAATTGAAAATGACAAAATGCAGAAGCAAAAGGCAAGCTCCAGCCCACCCAGAACAAGTCCAAGAGACAACAAGATAAAGAAAAAGGGAAGAAACACACCTGACATTTCTGAAATGATAACAACTGAAGTAAAGAAACAAATTCATGAGATTATAAAGGAAATCAGATGAAATATAATCTCTCAGATAAAAAAGAAATGTCAGTATTTATAGAGGAATTGCTTAGCAAATCAAGAGTAGAGATAGACAAAGAATAGCTGATGATAGGAAGAGAATGGAAATCCGGATGATGAATACAGGAAAGATATAGAATGCATTAAACAGATTGAAATAGATTTCCAGGAAATTAGAATTCCATTGAAAGCTGGCAAAACTATTTGAAAACTGAAGCCAATACATATCAGTTATTACCATCAATGTAAATGGTCTCAATTCACCAATCAAAAGAAACAGACTGCCAGAATGAATCAAGAAATAAGATCCAACAATGTGCTGTATACAAGAAACACATTTAGCTCAAAAAGAAATGCATAGACTAAAAATATGAAAAACAATAATCCATGCAACAGGAACCTAGAAAAAAGCAGGGTTAACTATTCCATTTGCAGAAAATGTGAACTTCAAATCGAGGATGATCAAAAGAGATAAAGACGGTCACTACACACTTTTAGGGAAAAACTTCCAAAGGAGGAGATAACAATCATAAAATGTATGCACCAAATACAAGAGTACCCAACTATATAAAAATATTAATAGACATAACAATTAAATAAGCAATAACACAACTGTAATAGGGGACCATAATGCCCTACTGTCACAAATAGATAGGTCAACCAGACAAAAATCAGAAATAAATACCAGAACTGAAATAAACCTGTGAACAACTAGATTTAGTAGATATTTACAGTGTTCCACCCAACAATGTCAGATTCTTCTCATATTCTTCTCAGCTGCACATAGGGTGTTCTCTAAAATAGACCATAGAAAATGCTTAAGTAAATGCAAAAGAACTGAAATTATCCCATGTGTATTATTTCACTATATTGAAATGAAATTAGAAATTAAGGGCAAAAAAAAAACCCAGAAAAACTCCATAAACACATAGAAATTAAGTAACATCCTCATGAACAACCAATGGGTCATAGATAAAACTAATGAAGAAATTTAAAATATCTATAATTAAATGAAAATACAGATACAACTTATTGGATCCTGTAGGACACAATGAAAGCATTCCTAAGAGGGAAATTTATAGCAGTGAATTCTCCTATCAAGATAACAGAACAAGCACCTCAAGCTTCTACAAAAAAAAAATAATTCAAGCTCAAAGTCCATAGAAGGGAGGAAATTATAAAGATCAAAGCTGAAATGAACACAATGAGACTAAAAAATACAAAGAATTAATTAATTGAAGAGTTGATTCTCTGAAAGAATAAGTACAATTGATAAACCCTTAGCGAATCTTATCAAAAAAAGGAAAAAAAGACTCAAATCCATGCAATTAGGAATGAAAAGGATCACAACAGATCCTGTAGAAATTCAGATCATCTATACATACTTTGAAAATCCTACTTTTGTAGGATGGAAAACATAGAAGTGATGGACAGATTCCTAGGTACATATGAATTATCAAAAATGAATCAAGAAGATAAAAATTCTAAATGACCCAATATGACTCAATGAAATTGAAAATGTAATTAAAAATTTACCAACAAAGAAAAACCCAGGTCCTGATGGATTCACAGTGGGATTCTACAAGAAATATAGAGAAGATTTAATACCAATACTCCTCAAACTCTTTAATGAATTGAAAGGGAAGCAATGCATCCTAACTCATTCTGGAAGCAACTTTTACCCTGATACCAAAAACAGAGAAAGACTCAACCAAAAAAAGAACTACTGGCCAATCTCCCTCATGAACATAGATGGAAAAATTCTCAATAAGATACTGGCAAACAGAATAAAGCAATCAACAAGAAGATTATATACCATGACCAAGTGGGATTCAGCCCAGGGATATAGAGATAGTTCAACATTTGCAAATCAATAAACATAGTACACTATATCAACAGAGCCAAAGACAAAAATCACATGATCATCTCAATAGATGCAGAAAAAGCTTTTGACAAAGCCCAACACTTACTTGTGGTAAAAATCCCTACAGAAAATCAGAATAGGTCTTTATCTTAATCTGATAAAAGCCATCTATGACAAACCAACAACCAACATCATATTAAATGGACAAAAACTGAAATCTTTCACTATAAAATCAAGAACAACAGTGCCCACTATCACCACTCCTATTCAAAATAGTTCTGAAAACACTAGCCAGAATAATTAAACAAAAGAAAGAAATAAAAGGAATAAAGATAGGAAAGGAAGACATTAAATTATTCATAGATTATTATTCACAGATGACATGATACTCAACATAGAAGACCCTAAAACCTCCACTAGAAAACTTCTAGATTTAGTAACCAAATTCAGTACCACAGCTGGATACAAAGTGAACACACAAAAATCCCTGTACACACACACACACACACACACACACACCTCTCTGAGGGGAAAATTAGAGAAAAAATATTCTTCACAATAGCATCCAAAAATATGAAATACTTGGGAAACAATCTAACAAAGGAAGTAAAATTCGTATTATTGAAAATTCTAGTACTCTTAAAAGGAGATCAAAAAGGATATCAAAAAATGGAAAGATATCTTTTGGTCTTGGGTAGGAAGAACCAACATAGTGAAAATGGCCAAACTCCCAAAATTGCTAGACAGATTAATGTAATCCCAGTAAAAATACTATTAGTGTACTTCACAGAACTAGGAAAAACATTCCTAAAATTCACCTGGAATCAGAAGAGATCTAGAATAGCAAAGGCAATCCTAGACAACAAAGACAAGGCAGGCGACATCTCAACCCCTGACTTGAAATCGTACTACAAAATTATTGTGATAAATTCAGCAGTACTGGCAAAAAAAAAAAAAAAAAAAAAAAAAAAAAAAAAAAAAAAACTCTTGAGGACCAACGAATCAGATTAGAAGATGTAGACACAACTACAAACACACTCAGCCACCTTATTTTTGACAAAGGGCAAACATGTTCACTAGAAGAAAGATAGCCTCTTTAATAAATGGTGCTGGAAAAACGGGCTCTCTGCATGTGGAAGACTAAAATAGACCTATCACTATCACTGTGCACTAAACTAAAGTCAAAATACATTGAAGATCTAAATATTAAAACACAAGCACTAAATCTACTGGAAGAGAAACTAGGTGGAAGTCTTAAAGACTTAGATGTAGGTAGACAGTTCATGAACAAAACCTAGACTGCCAAGAAATACTTGCAAGGCCCAACAACTGAGACCTCATCTTATTAAAAAGATTTTGCACAGTAAAATAAATCACAAACTGAAAAAAAAAAAAACAGTGGGAAAAAATTTAGCCAATTGTCCCTCAGACAAAGGACTTCTATCTCGAATACATAAAGAATTGAAAAAGATCAGACCACCCAAATTCCAAGTCCTAGTTCAAAAATGGGCATCTGAGATGAATATGCACTTCTCAGATAAAGAAATGCAAATGGCAAATAAATACAAGAAAAAATGTTCAACATCACTGGTCATTCAAGAGATGCAAATTAAAACAACACTGAGATTTCATCTCACCCTAGCAAGAATGGCTATTATCAAGAAATCACGAATATGCT